TATATGTATATATATATATATGTGTATATGTATGTGTGTGCGAATTTTTTCACCAGGATTTATTATAATTTTTTAGAATAGAAAAAAGTACGAACTGCTTTGTATTATGTGCAATTAATGTTTTGTTTCTTTTCAATTTTAGGATCTTACAGACCAATTTAGATTTCAGTACAGCAATATGTGGTTAGCCTTAATGAATGCTGATGTAAAAGGAGTTGAGTATTGGGGCAAAAAATTGGGCGTAGGGGATTTATATGGTTTATTTGCTTGCATGCTTACAGCTCGATCTTGGACAGCTGTGACTAAAGGAATTGAAAAAACTGAAAAAACTTCAGAGGAGGTTAGTACTTTGAATTTTGTTTTCCTAATTTGCATGTTTAATTTATTTCTATGCTTTTATTTAATGACATTTTTTGCTAAAATATTCATCATCAATATTTTTTTATTTTTTATAATGTGTCTGTTAAATTATCTGCATAACATTATAGTTATTATTCATTGAATATTTGTAACCATGTTTCGATATACTAATAGTATATTTGTTGCATTAAAAATATTTTTGGATAAATACTTATTTTATAGTCGCTGTTTACTGCTTTGAGGGAACATTAATAAGCATCCTTTAAAGTCAAATTTACTTATTTCTGAACTCTTAAAGAAATATATAATTACTACTTTTTTTATTTCCCAAATTTTTTTATATAAAATACTATAAAATATAGTAAGGTAAAGGAGTTATAAATTAAATAAATCTTGAATAGGAATTTATGCAGTTAAAATTAGATGTTTAAATTTAGTGTTACATCTCCTTTATCTCTGCATGCAATTGTCTTACATAGCTCTAGAAGGATAAATTACTGCTTAACTAGGATAAATTAAATAAATCTTGAATAGGAATTTATGCAGTTAAAATTAGATGTTTAAATTTAGTGTTACATCTCCTTTATCTCTGTATGCAATTGTCTTACAAAGCTCTAGAAGAAAGACTGAATAATTTTTATTTCTTTCAACTGGCAATGTTAAGGGTTTTATTCCACTGTAAAACAAGTAAAAGGAAAGTATAGTAAAGTAGTGATTATCCGAGTTAGTGTGGACCATGATTAACTAGGATAACCAGAAAACTTCAGTTAAAGCGAAGAGTATAAAAATGGAAAGAAAAAGAATACGTATAAGTTTAACAAATACAAAATTTATACGAGTCCACCACATACAATTCATATTATAGTTAAAAAGCTTCCTTAAATACACTTTAAGAGCATACTTTATGAGAATTAAGCGAGTTTTTAATTAAAGTCCTTATTCGTTTTTTGTTTTACATTACTTTGGTGCTTTTCTTCTTGTTGTACTATATATTCAATAGCACTTTTGATAGCTTTTCTAATGATTTTTTTATGTTGAGATATTTTTATATATTGATTTTCATTGTCACGATCTTCATCATCTTCCCTAGATTCATTTTCTTATTGACGATATTAACGATCATTTTGTCGATAATCTCATGTTGTCCGTAAGTTTCTTATCCTGAGTGTTTGAAAGATAAAGTTCTGAATTTCTTTCTGATGTAGTTTTAAAAATAAACTAAAACAAAACAATCCTTGAAATATTTTATAGCTCGGTTAAAGCCGAAACTCAGATAATCAGGACTCGTTATACTGTACTATGTTACATCCACTTCCTTGTGGTGTAAAGAATTAAGTTTGAAAATCAGGTCATGAAGTGATAATATAATCCAGTTTTTGTTTCATATTTTCTCTTCTGGCAACAGATAGAAGTACCAATGCCTAGATAAATTTTTTAAACTTAATTTCCAAACTTATGTAATTCTTTCTTCTCATGCAAACTAATAGCAAATCAAGATACAAATGTTTGAATAGGAAACCATTAAGGAAAAAATTAACTGTGACACATTGCTTATTATTTCTAAAATTCATTTTGAAACTTATATTTCTGATTTTTTAGTTCAAAAAATAAGATAAGTATAAATGAGCATAATACTTAGTTTTTTCTTTGAACTCAGAAATATGAGTGAAAATTTTTGGTCTTACCAATTCAAATTATGAAATTATTTGCAAATTCAACAAGCAACATTTACAAAGTCTAACATATACTAATCTTCAGTATCACATTGTTGGTTTTTATTTATTAAATTGATAATCATAAAGGACTTTGTTTATATATTGTCCTAAATTTTAAATTCTTGTATATATACCATGCAGCAATTGTAAGTGGCAAATATTAGCATTTATGATTGAGATAAGCTTTTTTGATTTAAACTCCTTTTTTTTAAGCAAAAAATAGAATTACATTCTTTTACTTGGTAAGTTCAGTTTATTTTTTATAAAGGAAAATATAGATATTTTAACTGTTATGAGTATCACTACTTTCACTAACTCAGGATGTATGGCCAATTATCGTTGAAATTCCAGACATTTTTGATATACTTTTAAGTTTATTTCTTGTTTTTCACCTATAAATTTCTTTCTGTTCTTATTGCTTAGAATAAAAATTTCAAAGTGTTCTAAAATTAAATAAATATTTTATAAGCCTTTGTTTATTTTAAAGCATATACTAATGTGAATATTAAACAGTTAATTGGTATTGTCTTTCTTAGGTAAACTAGTATAAAATTTTCTCTTCCCTAGCATTATTGGTTTATTTTCCTATTATTTATTTTTTCTAATCTTCATTTACTACCTGATGAAATAAAACTTTTTCTTTTAAAAATACAGTTTTATTTTTCTATAAATGGTGTCTGTAACAAATATTTGTGTTCCATATCATGTTTGTATAATGTATATTTTCTCCAAGAGTTTTGCTCTTTAAACATTTATTATTCTTCATATGCAATTTTTATTATTTATTTATTTTTAAACACTAATATTTTTAGAATAATGTTATTAAATAAATAAAATTATTGTATTAGTTTCCAAATATTCAAGTTTTGAGTTTGTAGTCTTTCTAAGAAACAAAATTTCTGACTATGATTTGTGGTTTTAAGTAACATTAAGCACTCTAGTACTTTGTAAAAAAAAATTTTGACTCAAATAAATAAGTTATAAATTGAATTTATTAATATTGTAATTTAATGTAGTTTTGAAATAATCATTATATTAGCAATAATGTCTTCTTTTAGAAGCAAGAAATACGAAACAATGCAGCTAATTACTTACCTGAAATAACAACTGTTCTTAGCAGAGTTCCAAGAGAAATGTTGCTGGTTTTAAAAACTAATGATCTTCTGAGAGGAATTGAAGGTTCTCTAGGTAAATCAACAGTTTTTTATTTGATTATTTATAAAATTGTTAACCGAACCACATGATACATTTAAGGAATTAAGTGGATGGTCTCAAAAATTTCAAGGAAACAAGAGTTACAAATAGTAACCACCACTAGATATAGTTCTTTTTGACATCTGTTGTACAGTGTGCCAAAAAAAAAGAACCTGAATAACTTTTGAACTAATGATCAGTTCTCCACTTCCTAATAGTTTGGTCAGGAGAGCAGTCCAAAGTTTTGACCCCTTAATTTTACTTTTTGCATATTTCGCTATATGTTGAAAACTTTTTAAGCAAATTGAAAAACTTTTGCTCATGATTATAAGATTCATTTGTCTGAAGATTATTCTATGTAAAGAATAACCTTTATTAAATATTATTTTTTACATCATTTTAAAGAAAGTAATTTTACATGGCAAAATTCAAAATGTGAGCAAAATCGGTAGAAATGCTCTTGAGAAATTGAATTTCAAATATATGACTTTTTTGAAGTTCAATTTCTCAGGAGCTATTCAACTAATTTTTCTCAGATTTTGTATTTTGCCTTGTAAAATTACATTCTTTAAAATGATGCAAAAAATTTTATGCCTTTCAATTTGAAGTTTTTTTTTTACCTTTATTAAATAAAGTAATAAGTTATTAATAAAGGTTATTTTTTGCATGGAATTATCTTTGGACAAAAAAATGTCATAATAGTGCGCAAATTTTTTTTAATTCGCTTAAAAAGTTTTTGAAATTTAGTTAAATACGCAAAAGGTAAAATTAACACGAAGAGATCAAAACTTTGGACCTCTCTTCTGACCAAACTATGGGAACCATATTTCCTACATTGTGGCTACCTCCTGTAATTTGGGGGTCAGAAACCTGAATTTGTCGAAAAAGGTATGCATATTCAGAGAAAGTGCATTTTTGTGTCTGATTTCATAACTTAAAATATTGCCAGCACTTCATAATTAGCATATTTGAGTTCACTCCCGCGATCTTTTTTGTTTCTTTTTTATGCACTGTACATTTTTGCGCACTGTACATAAAAAGCTTCTTTTATCATTGCTTTAAGCACAATTGTTGGATCCAGGTGAATTTTTTTCATCTCTAAAGTTTTTTAACCATTCCAAAACATGCTTTTTACTCACTTTTTTCATGCTGTATACTTTCTCTAACATTTTGTTTATCTTTATTTGCCATTTTGCAGATTTTGAAGCAAAACATAATGTTCACACATTGCTCCATTTTACAATGAAGTACAGTGTGCAGGAAAAAAGAATTTGATCTAATGATTGAATCCTGACTTACTGGGACTCAATTTTAATGGTTTGAAGGGTTCAAGTATGCTAATTAATTAGTGTAAACTATATTTTACAGGATTTTATTCCAGACCCTCAAATTATGATGGTAGTTGCTATCTGGGAAATATGGTTCTAATAGTTTATTCAGAAAAGCGGTTTAAAGTTTGAACCCCTTATTGTTGATTTTACTTTTTTGCGTAGCTTACCATATCTCAAATTTTAAGGATATTTTAAATTTTTAAGATTTTTTCTCCATGAAATATGGCTTTTAAAATTTAATTTTTGTCAAATGTTTTTGGAATTAGCTGTATTGGGGGAGCTATTTGTTCAAAGTTAGTATTTTGAATTATATTATTATTGAACAAATTTCGAATTGTAAGGTACGCAAATTTACTTAACATTCTACGCTGTGCAAGAAAAGAATCACCCTGAATTGCTTCTGATCTAATGATTGGAGTTTCACGCACTAAGATTCGAACTTAATGGTTCTTAGGGGAGACCTCAGATATGCTAATTAATTTGTGCAGACAATATCTTAAATCACGTAATCAGACTAAAAAATATATTTTCTCTGAATAAACATTCCTAACATTTAAACATCCGACTTTTTTCAATTTCTCGGGAACTATTCAAATGATTTCGCTTAAATTTTTTTTTTTATTATTTTATTTGTTAAAAAAATTTTGAATTGTAAGGTATACAAATTTTTATATCATTTTAAAGAATGCAATTTTATCTGGCAAAGTGCAAAATTTTTACCAAATTAGTTAAGTTTCTGAAAAAGCAAATTTTTAAAAATATGACTTTTTTAAAATTTGATTACTCTCACACTGACTGCATTATATTCAATATTTCTCTCACTCTTTCCTTCTCACACTTACTGCATTAAATTTAATATTTCTCTCACTCTTACCTTCTCACACTGACTGCATTATATTCGATATTTCTCTCACTCTTTCCTTCTCACACTGACTACATTAAATTTAATATTTCTCTCACTCTTACCTTCTCATACTGACTGCATTAAATTTGATATTTCTCTCACTCTTTCCTTCTCACACTGACTGCATTAAATCTGATGTTTCTCTCACTCTTTCCTTCTCACACTGACTACATTAAATTTAATATTTCTCTCACTCTTTCCTTCTCACACTGACTGCATTAAATCTGATATAGAATGCTATTCCACTTATCCGCCATGATTTGTACTCTAGGAAGTACTAAAGTAGTGTATCTCACTGCATCTGTGTGAGTGAGACATTGTTTTTATTCAACTATTGAGCCATTTACTAATATTTTTAAATGCACCTTAAAATTATTGTATTAAATTATTTTATTTTTTTTATTAAAATTTAATTACTTATTTTTCAAAACAGTAGAAATATGTTATTCTTATTGTTCTTGTAAATATATCTGTAATTTTTNACGAAATTAGTGTTTTAATATTTAAATGTAATATTATCTATTGGGAAACAGGCCAACATAACTAATTAACTCACAACTTATTGTTATGTGAATATTTTTTTTTGTTGTCAACAGTAATTACATAGTTATCCTTTATTTTTGTTTAAGCAAGTAATAATCATACAAAGCGCAGAACTGTTTAATTTAACGATAAGTTCTATAAATTCCATCTTATATCCAACTAATAAATGTATAAAACTTATTGATGTAAGGAGGAATGAAAAATATAATATAATTTACCCTTAGCTAATAATAAATAAATAAATTTTGATTAAGAATTTTTTTAAAATTATTAATATTATTTATTATTAATATTCATTGTTGATATTATAATTATCGATATTATATTCTTTTTTCTTAATCTAAAATTTTGTTTACCATTAAAAAATTTAATGCTCTGTTATTACTAGAATTTTAAGTTGAATCTTTCTATATAATGGTAGAATTCTTTATCTAGTTTTATCTTATTCAATATGTTTCTTATTTGGGTTATTTTTAACAAATGCATTTCAATTCATTTAATAGTAAAATTTATTTAATAATTTTCTCTGTGGAATCTTTTAGTTTAGTCATGGTTAAAACTTCTTATTTAATAGTTTATCTTTTTTTATTTATTTATCTGTATATTTCAATATGGTTCTTTTATATTGCAATGACAGAAGTAAAAAATTTTTAAATCATTTTTGTATCTTATAAATTATAAGTTTTTTTTTACTTATTGTGCTAAATTTAAATATAACATAAAATTGAAATTTGTTGAACAAAATTGAGTTAGTATATTTAATTATATTTTGAAGTGCATTTATTAAATAAACATTTTACATTTTTTCACATATAAGTTAAATTTTTTTAAGTTCAGATATAATGAATTTTGGAAATAACTAATTTTTATATTGCTCTTAAATTTATGAAACAAAGCAAATGTCTATGTTCCAGGACTTTTTGATAAATTCATGCAATTACCTCCAGAATAATTATATGGTAAATATTTTTATAATATGCCTCCTTTTAAATCAATGTGCTTAATCATGCTTAGTTCAGCAATGTTCTAGATTTTATATATCTTCCAAAAATAGAAAAATTTCTTAGTTTTTTAAAAACAAAATTTTTTTCAGAAAAAAAAATTTATGAACTTTTAGTTTCAATCGCATCATTCTGGGAAACTATTTTTCCAGGTTTTAAAATTGAATATAGACTTAAGAATAAAATGCACTGGTGAGTTTCCAAAAAATTGTTATGGTGTATAACAATAAAATAGAACATAACAATAAAATAGAACATAACACTTAAAAACATACATTTATGAAAACACTGTAAAAACGCTTGGTTCATCTTGTAGAAGGCATTATTTTCTTTTCTTTAATTTGTGATATTAGTCTTTTTTTCTCCCTTTCAAGCAAAGAAAGATCGCTTATTAGATCAATATTAAAAATTTTAAAAAATTCACTTAAAACATCTTAAAATTTTTCTTACTTTGCACTAGCTCATATTTTTCATTGTCTGTAAATCGTTCAATGTAATTTTAATGTGCAAATGTTTATGCAAAATTTGAATGTACATTCTTTTCAGAAATTTCTAAACCACTTTTAAAATGTTTGAGTCAGAATTCCTTTGATTTGTTTCTAGTTTTACCCTTTTTTTTCTTAAAAAAAGTTTCATTTTCTAACATTTTTAAAATCATCTGATTTAAAAATTTTACTTGTTCAATTTAGAACAGCTCCACCAGGTCATTTTGCACAAAATTATCACCTTTTATTACCTTCAATTATTACCTTTTAATATAAATAGATGTATTTTATTTTATACTCTTCGATTTTGAAGAGCTGTGACATGTTTACCATGCTTTTTAAAATGTATGTATACATTTCATTTTTAATCTCTGATTTAATGCTGTAATTATTTGAATTAATTGGACATGTATCTTTGTAACTAGAATGAGAAAAACTTAAATATTGATAGTGTTATCGTAAGTTGTTTATTTATCTTGTTAAAAGTTTTGTAAACTTATAACTATTTGATATTTTTATAATGATAATGAATAATTTTTGTATTTGCATAATGGAGTTTATAAAAAAAGCAGTTATTTTCTATTGAAATAAAAAGAGCTACTGACTATTTTATTTTCTTACAGTTAGTGATTGATTAGATATTGAACAATCAATGTTTTACTATCTACATTTTTATGAAATCTAATCCGAGTGAAATATTTGCTATTTAAATTTTATTTCAATGCATATTTATGATTAAGAAAATTGTAATGAGTAGATTACTATTTTTATTGATAACTTCTTATTTGTTGAACTATTTTT